CCCCCCACAAAACCGTACAGTTAAGACAGAGTGAAACAGCGAAGAAAGCTCCACAGCCAAAACTTTGCCTCTTTTCCTTTCAGCGTGGCAGAGACCTTTACCTGTTCCTTTACAGTTAAGACGTACAGCAAACTTAAAGTTGTTGCCAGCCGGAGAGCTTTAATGTTAAAAAAAAAAACCCCGCCGGTTTCGTAACGTTTCCCGTGAGTTACACGCCGTGAGGGTATTAAAAGTCACAGGTGCACCACAAGCCGCTCTCGGCGCCCCGACTGACCGCCGTTCTTTCGGCTCCGTCGCCTGCAGCCCTGGATTCGGAGCTCGGCGACCTGCTGCAGGAGTTCCACGACGTGATGGAGGAGCTGCGGACGCCGGAGCACAGCCGGCCGGAGCAGTACCAGGAGTACCTGCGCCAGCCCAAGCGGAGCAGCGCGGTGTGCGACAGCGGCATCGAGGACTCGGACTGCAGTGAGTCACTTTAAACCTGCCCCGTTTAAACTTGCCTGCCGCTCCCTCTCGTCTTCCTGTGGGCTTGAATGTATTTTTATGAAGTGTGTGTGAGGGGGTTGATATATTTTAAGAGTGTTGGCTTATATATAAAAAAAAACGTATAATAATAATTGCTTACACTTATATAGCGCTTTTCTGGACACTCCACTCAAAGCGCTTTACAGGTAATGGGGACTCCCCTCCACCACCACCAATGTGCAGCATCCACCTGGATGCCATAGTGCGCCAGAATGCTCACCACACATCAGCTATCAGTGGGGAGGAGAGCAGAGTAATGTAGCCAATTCATAGAGGGGGATTATTAGGAGGCCATGATTAGTAAGGGCCAATTGGAAATTTGGCCAGGACGCCGGGGTTACACCCCTACTCTTTTCGAGAAACGCCCTGGGATTTTTAATGACCACAGAGAGTCAGGACCTCGGTTTTACGTCTCATCAGTGGCCTTTGTGTATGATAAACATTTTAAATGAAAAGTGAATGTGCACGTGTACTGCGAGGGATGCTTTATCTCTTGCAGATGAGACGGGAAATTCCGCTGTTTGCCATAAGATGTACAATTTCATGCCCACTGGTGGGATGGGTGTAGGGGGTCACTGGTGTAGGCAGATACATAGGGTACAAAGGAACAAGTAATAGGTTTATTCCATGCTGAAAAAAAGAAGAAAGAGAACACAACGTTTCGGCCGTGGAGCCACACCTGAAGAAGGCTCCACGGCCGAAACGTTGTGTTCTCTTTCTTCTTTTTTCAGCATGGAATAAACCTATTACTTGTTCCTTTGCAGCCTACGCATGCTGACGCAGCTACCCACCTGAGATACATAGGGTATGCCCCTTAGGAATCAACTCAACACCATGTTCCCCGAAGACCCATTAATCAGTAAATTGCTCAACCTCCTTGCAGCAGTTACAAACCCCCGAGGAGCCTTTGTAAGGCAGCAAGAGTGATTCCGCCCTGTCACCCAACTGACAATAACCCTTTAATTTTAATTCCTACCTCTCAGAGAGGCTAAATATCCAGCTTGATTAAGGTCAACACATGACATTGTTGTGGAGTTGTGCTATCGATCGATGCTGTCCTGGTTCCAGCAAAGCATGACACGATGACCTAAAATCATACGAAGGGTTACAGATGAGATTCTCCTAGCCTGTTAGGTAGTAGCTTATTGATCCCAAAAATCTCATCCCTGCTATTTCCTGAAGGATACTCAGTTTTCAGCTTCAGCCACATGGCTTTGTAGCCTATTCCACACTCCTTGGTGTACCCTGGACTAGTATAGACCTTGTGTACACACTGGACCAGTAACCCGGTTACTGGTCCCAGTTCTGGGGCACTCGGCATTCTACATTTCCCTTTTCAGGCTCCCTGATCCCAGAAGTCCCTGCACATGTGACTATGTCCCCTTATTTTGTGATCACTGTCCCCGCAGGTCGGGAGCTGACCCCCAACAGCAGCCTGAACACTAGTGAAGAGGACCTCAACACGGCTGGCACCAGCGCGGTGCCGAAAGGTGGGCCCAGAATGGATCCCTGAGCTCCCGTGAGCTTGCCCTGCGCAGAGCTTTCCGCTTTGAAGAGCTCGGGGAGACAAAAATGAGACGGGTGTTAAAAACATACCCTTACGATACCTCCCAGCTGTAAAAGAAAAGGCTTTCTCCTTAGTCGTTGGCCAAGAAAAACAAATGTGTACAACAAATGGTGTGAACTGAAGCTATTTTTTAAATTTAAACTACCCTGTGTTTGCCAACACATAGAGTATCAAGCATTCAGTTGCTGAAAAAATGACTTCATTACATACTGCTGTTCATCACCTCTTAGGACTCCACTGTCAGCTCTGAATCACACACTTATTTCTCCCCACAAAAGATAACCACATACATGTATCATCGAGTGGTTAAAATCTCTTTTCTGGGGTATAAAGTTCAGTCTCGTACTGCACTGTAGTTACTTCACGGTCACTGCAGCTCATTCTCCACACACACGTCTGCTGTGCTTTTCCTGCTTCAGATCCAGCTCTGACTTACTGGATTAGAAACACTCGGGGATTTGGATCCATAAAGCCAGCCTGGTGAACTGGCATGAAAGTCCTCCTTCATGGAGAGGAAAGATGTGAATTTTGTGCCCTTGTTACTCTGGCAGTGGAGAAATGTCAGTTCCTCACTAGCAAATTCCAAAGGAAATGCCATCTTTTTACTGAAATTCTGTTTTTAATTTATTTTTTAGCAAAACTTGGAGACCTGACAGAGCTGGAAAACTTCATAGAGAACCTAGACAGAGAACTAGCGGGTATGTACAGTAAAAAGAAATGACCTTAATCCTATACATGTATAAAACACATGAGCAAATCAAATGTTGTTGCATGTGTACTATTGGTTAAAACTACTTAATGACTGTATTTTTTAATAATTTCATCTCCGTTTAATACTACAACACATGAGTAACAACGGTTGTATATTCACCTGAATTGTTCTGGTAAATAAAAGTATATCTATTCGCATGCTCTGCGGGAAAACCTGTAAGCTTAAGAGCAGCCTGGTCTGTATGTGACCACTGTCATAGTGCGTAGGTGCCCACTTTTAACATGGCTTTATCTTTCCTGTCAGAGATGTGAACCTGCAAACCCAGCCTGAGGTGAAAGGAGGTTTCTCGATGCCACCCGGACACAGCGATGAACCCTGTGCCCCGTCTTCCATATCAGCGTCACACAGAGTGATGTTCCATGCACTCCATGGCCTTTGACTGAACATGATTTAGTTTACCATTCACTGTGTGCAGGGCAATCTTAATTAATAACGAATTTCTCAGGAAATGTTACATTTCTTTAAAGTATCAAGTGCTTAGTAAGGTGTGATGCAGCAAATTATACCACTGTCTGTTTGAGCCTCAGCAAAATATCATTTTTTATTTTTTAGTTCGGGAGCAAATCTTCAAGCCTCGAGTTTTCTCATTTGCTATCATGATGCTCCTGATCTTGGGCTTTCCAAGTAGTAAGCTCTCATTCACTTGGATTCTTAAAAAGGGATGTTGTGTGGGGAAAAGGAACACACTAAGATCACTTTACCATGACTGATGGAAACATTTGGCAAAAGTTCCCTCTTAACCCAGCATGTAATATTTACGTTTTAAGAAAATCCCACTTCTTCACTGACGATATAATTTTGCCCTTGAAATACAGGATTGAAATTCACCTATCCTGCAAGAATGTAAAGATTTTAATAGGTGTACAGTTCTTGTAAAAATGTTTTTTATAATGTAGATATGTTATATATTGTATATATGACTGTACATTAAAGAATAAGCAAATAACTGAAATCTACAGTACCTATGAAGGAATTCTTTAAGTAACTGAATGTGGGAAAGCGATGACTGCTTTGTGTTCTTAACCTTCCAAGATCTAGGATTTGAAATCAAGCACATGCACCTACAGTATAAAACAATGTAGTTTTTCAAAATAAACATCTGTTTGTACTGTTACTTGTGTGTTTTTCCATTTCATGTGTGTCAAAGTGTTGTTGCAACTGTGTAGCACTGTTCCCAATTCTCTGCAGCAAAGCTAAATTCCAATGCGCTTTCTCAGCAAAAAAAAAAGTCAAAATGCTGCTTTGCTCAGAAGGAGGAAATGCATCTGATGTCCGGACATGACCATTCATCAGTTTCTCTCTCCACTTCATTTGCCTTGTCTTTGCCTGATGCTCACATCAGGAGGAGGGGTGGGGGGGGCAATATTTTTTAAAAAATGATCTGAGCTCAGCTGTTACTGCAAGAGCAGAGTGTATTAAATGAGCAGGCTTCAAGCTTGAAGGCCTGTGCTAAATTATCTAGTAAGAATGTAAATGGAGCTGCAGTAAGCCCCTGAACTGTCTTATGCGCTTGGCCTGCAAAGCTGCAGTGAATGGTGTGTGTGTGTGTGTGTCTTCTTCAGCTGAACAGCCACGGCTCCCATGAGCCAGTGGAAATGACCTCTTCTGGTGCTCGGGGCAGTCACCTCAACCTGCCCCCGACTTGCCCCCTACCCCGGTGAGACTGCGTGAAAGCTTCCTGAAAACGTCCTGAGTCTTCGCCTGACACCCGTTTCACCACATCACATCTGAGAACAAACAAGGAAATCCACGAATTCAGTTGGCCCAGTCTTCTCGGTACGCTTTTTTTTTTTCCCAGGACAGGAAGCCCGTCAGCAGCAGGCGGAGAAGACATGATCTGCGATCGGCGCCGTCACGCTTTACTTTGGAGAGCCGGTGTGGCAGGGTCAAATTTATGGTACAAAACATAAGACTGTCCACTCAAAATGAAATGCCTTCCTTTTAGGTGCAGTAGTACCTGCGCCAGATGGAAAGGTGAACAGCACCACCATCCACTTCGGTCTAACCGTGAAGTTTATAATTGGCTGGGCATCAATCTAAATTATAACCTTTGGCACATCTGGCAACATCTGTTCAGCTCTGGAGAGCCTAGGATAGTCTGAAAAGTGGATAACGGCACAAGTAAAATTACTTGTTCTTGAATGTGGGAAGCAGATCAACAGTAGGATCAACCATCTTATTATTTTGCCACAAACCACCAGATTCAACATTATTACTCCTGCACCAGAGCGTGATATTAAAATCGATGCACGAGAGGTCACCCCAATTTAAGATTCACCATGTTTTAAAGGCATTCTATTTTAATCCTATCTAAACCAGAGATGAGGGCAAAGTGTATGACCTCGTTTTCCAGATTGTGGTCTTGCTCCCAGCCTGAAGAAAAGAAAGTTGGGCATTTCTTTTTCCTGATAATCTGACACATTTCTGAAAACTCCCCGAGACTCTGGGGAACTACAGTGTACTGCCCTGGTGATTTCTTAGGTTCTGCCCATTTCTTTATGAACGAAAATGAATCACACTACTAGAATTAATTTCAACACATAGCAACCTTTTTACGACTAGAGTTTTTGTTTCAAAAAGTTTCCAAAGAAAATGAACAGCCTGAACAGAAAAAGCTCGCACCAAGTACTCTCATCATCGCCATTATCATTAATCTTCAGTTCCTCGTTCTCAAGAACCATGTGACTGAAGACTAAACCTCAGTGCTGACGCATCTAGAGGTTCAATATTTTTTGCAGTTTTGCTGAACATAACAAATAAAATATGAAAATGGAAGAAAGCAAAAGATGTTTACTGGAATGTTTATAATGTGATTGTACCAATCACGTGCACACATGCAAACTGAAATATTACAGGCTAGAGGGTAGTCTCCCCGCCCATCAGCAAAGTGGCTCGATTTCTAAATAGGCTGCTGATGATCAGTGGCTTGTTTTCTAAATAGGCTGCTGATGATCTCTTTTCTGTGGTATGAAGTTCAGTCTGTTACAGTATTGTCACTTCACAGTTACTGCAGGTCGTTCACCACGCACAAGTCTGCTGTGCTCTTCCAGCTACAGATCCGACTCTGACTCACTGGATTAGAAACACCCAGGGATTTGGATCCTCAAAGCCAGCCTAGTGAAGCAGCATGACAATCCTCCATCACGGTGGAAAAAAAGATGGAATTCTTTGCTCTTGTAAAGCTGGCAGCGGAGAAATGTTAGTTCTTCGCTGGACAGATGTCACTGAAATTGTTTTTAAATGTAATTTCTTTGGTCAAAACGTAACAGACCTTTATAGAAAACCTTGACAGAGAACTAAGGTATTTAGAAACTATCTTAATTCTATATGCTATTTGTATAAAACACGAGAGCAGATTAAATGCCGTTGCACATACTGTATACCATAAGCTGAAACTATCCTGAAATAAATTTATTTTATTTTTGACTGCCCTGACCAATACTGGTATACTGGTGCTCCCCAGTGATCCATTACAAGGCACGAGTGCAAGTGGATTGATAAAAGCACTTTAAAAAGGCGAGAAAACCATCACTTTTGCTGAACAGGAAGAGTGCTGTTCAGCTGCAGACAGCTTGTGGTCTCATGGTGTTGCACAGCAGCCCTGAGAATCTGCACGTTACATCTCCCTCACACTCAGCGATGAGATCTGCTTTGCAGAAGTGTGCTCTTCACCTAAACCACAGAAACTGTGAAACAGAAATGAGTCAATTGCACCACCATACCAATGGCAACCAGCATCTGAAATACAAATAAATCAGACATACATGGAAACCGAGAGTATGACATCACACAGTATGACCTATTAGGCAAATCCTATAAGTCCTGTTAATCCTGTAAGTCCCCTTGAAGAGTCAAAAAACAAAACGTGATTTCACTTATTTCTCTAGTATGATTGCATACTTCCTTATTACTGTTTAAGGCTGGTTTTCACGGCAAACCTACAGCCAGTACAAGGCAGAGTATCGATTGTGAGTATAGTATAGAGATATAGCCATACAGCCATTGAAATAAAAAAAATGTTTGTATAGCGCCTTTCATCCCAAAGCACTTTTCATATAGGAGGGGATTCACTCCAGCGCCCACTGCAGTCCTGGTACACTTCAGCTGCTCAGTAACTCAGCCAGGACTTCAGGGTTAACAACCCTACTCTTCGGACAAATGTCTTGGTATCGTTGATGCCCAAGTAGCACATTTCAGCACAGTATCCCCATTTACTGGTTTGGAAATAAGCAGATAAGAGGGAAGAGCTCCTCCTACTGGTCCACCAACACCACTTACAGCAGCAATCTTGTTTTCCTTGGAGGTCTCCCACCTCACTAGTGGCCAGGCATTCTTAACTTTTGACATCTGATGAGATCAAGTGGTTATTATTCCTAGCTAGACACAGGGGAATGTGTATACAGGCCTCCTACAGACTGAACAGAAAGAGACTGATTTTGACATTTATTTCTAAATAATGACATTTCCATAACCATGCCCCAGTCTCCAACACAGTTTTGATCTATCGACTCCCACCTCCGCAGGTTGAAAACAAAATAAAAATGCATTTTTCTGTGTTGGGCTTAAAGCAGAATGCATGAGAGCAACATCAAGTACTGAAAACGCTTGGGAAAGTTTATTACATTTGCATCACTCTTCCACATTTTTTTAGACAGACATTTTTGAAGCAAATAGTGAATTTCAAGCCAAGATTCAACCATAACAACCAAGGAGCTTTCAAAACAACTCAGGGAAAACGTTGTATAACGGCATCGATTACGAGAGGTGTATAAAAATGTTCCAGAGACTCTTAATCTCTTTGAGTCATCTGAAATCGATCATTGAGACACTGCCTACTGTAGATCATGGAGGAAAAAGCCCAGAGAGCCACTGTAAGTCCACTAGTGACTTTGAATGAGTGACAGAGCCCAGTGGTTTAGATGGGACAAAATATCTGGGGGTCAACAATACCTTGATCACAATATAGTGCAAGCGACCGTATCTTAGTCTGGATTAAAACAGGTTTCTGTCTTTAAACAAGTTTCTTACCAGTGGTTTCATGCTTCTTTCTATTAAAAATACCCTATAAATATGAAAAGCATGTCATTAGTGATGGGCACAATAAGGTTTGAAGCAATATGAGTCCTAGTAATTTGTTATTTTAATAGCTGCACAATTGAGCAATAAGGTGCTTATAGTGCAATTTAGGCTAGCATTGTGATCTCCTCTTAGATAGTGAATAGGATGTTGTAAAAGTATTTTGTGACATAACAGTGTATATGTGAGAAACAGTTCAATAATGATATATAATATCCTCACTCCACTCAAGGCGCTTTACAGGTAATGGGGATCCCCTCCACCACCACCAGTGTGCAGCCCCACCTGGATGATGCACCAGAACGCGCTCCACACACCAGCTATTCAAGATTCAAGACTCATTCAAGCCTGGAACAGCCTCCGGTTGGTGAAATCCTACAGCAGCTCACTTCAAATTCCTGCAGCTCAAGGGATAATGCATTCGGAAGGCAGAATCCCACATTCTTGGCATGCTTTCTCCCATCTAGTCTTCCTGCTGACGCGCTGTTCTGATTGTCCCACCCAGCCACCAAGGGACAGGGAACGGGGTCGCCGTTTTTGTCTGGAGGCAAAAGAGCTGGGCCTGTTTGTTTAGTCTTGGCTCTGGCCTCAGAGTCTTCGTCGGGGGGTTTCCTGCTGCAATCAACACCAAGGGACCTGGGAATAGCAGCTGGGCAGGAACTCAACGTCGTTCCAAGAAAGGAGAGGGGGGGGGTGAGGGTTTGGAGAAGTACTGCTTCAAAGGGGAAGCGAGCAGCCCCGTCAGAGCAGAAAAAGAAGAGGAGTAAGCACTTAACAGGCATTTGAGTGAAAAGGGGAATAGAGCAACAAATTGAAAAAAATATATATGTATCCTGGCTCTGCGGGGCTTACTTTTCAGATTTGCAATGTATCATTTCACGTCTTACCGTTGAAGGGCTAAAAAGAAAAAATAGGCGCTGGGCGATGACACGTATGACTTACAAATAAAACCCTGTCAGTTCTGGACTCGCAATGAACGCGCCGCGATGCTCTCTGCAGGGGAGGACGACTACAGAAGGAGCGCGCATGCAAACGACA